AACTCGTCCTCATTGGTAGTCTTGCGGTCTTTCCACGCGTAAAACAAACCGATTGCTGTCGATATCATTAACATTGCGATGAATACCACGTAGTCTACGGCACCGAAATGGTCAGACATGTCGGCGTTTGGTTTTTGTTGGGTTTCACCACTTGTTTCAAATTAGATTTTATATTTTCAAGTCTTTAACTAGAAGTTAAATCTCTTAGGATTTATTGTAATCTCATATCTATTTAATGAATATTATTAGGCAAATGAATGGTCGCAATGATATGAATAATTACATGAATTACTGTAAATATATACAGTAATTAAAAGCGGAAGTCAATTATGTTTGAGATCATGCTTTCAATTAAGTGTAACTTATGGAAACTTAAAGCAGTATTAGTTTAATAAGACAAATTAATTAATGTAAAAATTAATACTGTAACCATTTTTATTGAATATTATAAATAGTAGTTTAGTGTTTCATTATTGGTAATGAATTTTTATATTTAATTATGATTTAATCATAATAAGTTTATATTTTACTGCAAATTATTTGAAATATTTAAAAAATAATCTGTGAATTAATGAAATTAATATCAATGCAGATCTTACGAAATACAGTATATGGTATTATATGAGCTAGGGACAACCATAGTAACGTTAGCAATTTTATATTTATTATATCTAATTATTAATTTTATTCAAAAGTCAACTATTCATAAAATATTCATAGGTTTAGGGTAAACGAGTAGTATTATAACTTATCAGGTTAAAATATTACTGGATTTTAAAATATTAATAATACTTATACTTTGGTTTTAAGACTAAGGTAGACATAATTCAAAAGTAAACAATTAAATTATCAGTTATAATACAATTACAAATATGGATCATTTGTTTTATAAAAAAGTTGTTCAAATATCTAATGGTTGTTCGGATAAGTTAACGGTTCTACCCCAAAAGGTTTACTACCGAAAAGGCCTACTTTTTCCAAAACGCCTAAAAAGCCCAAAAAGCCTACGACCTAAAGGGTTTACTTAAAATAAATAATTTTTTCGAAAGTTTTAAATGTTTTTGGGAAAAAACCCCTCTTCTCGAGAGTTAATGTATTTCTATGGAGATTTCGGTGTTTTTGGTCACAACCCTTAATTTCTTATAGACTTAATGTATTTCTATGGGGATTTCGGTGTTTTTGGTCACAACCCTTAATTTCTTATAGACTTAATGTATTTCTATGGGGATTTCGGTGTTTTTGGTCACAACCCTTAATTTCTTATAGAATTAATGGTTAAATGGGATTTCCCTAAGGGGTGTTGGTGTTTCTACGAGGGAATTGGGGTTTCCCCGTGGGAATGCCAACTCCTTAAGGTGCTCAGAGCTGCCAAAAACGCAGGCGACGAACATTCCGGGCAGACCCGGGTAGTCGTCCTCAAAGATGTCGAGCACAAAGTAAGGCAACAGTTGGTCGGGTCGGGCCACTCGACCGGTCATCATAGGGTCGCAGTCGTAATATCGGGCGTACATCACGACACCGATGAGTACAGTGAATGATAGCATCAATATATACCCGGGCATTGCCATATACAGGGCCTTTTTGGCCGAACTAAGACTCGGCATACATATAGCGCGTTGGACTTGTAGTTGACTTGTACTGAATGTGCCGCTGAATAAGACTGCATACCCTGTTAATAGCACCCAAAACGAGTTAATGGAGTAAATGTCGAAATTGATGCTAAAAGACAACAAATACCGACAATTATATGAGTTTATAAATTTTATATAATTATAGCATTACTTCCAGAACTCTATACGTCCGCCTGTATGAGCCTTTTGAAAGGCACTGGCCATTCCTCCCGAAACATTTGCACCCTTTTTATGAATTTAAATTAATTATTATTTATTATAAAGCTATCATTAGATAAGAATTCTTATAAAAGTCATACTCTGATGAGGACGGCTAGCAATCCGGTGATCATAACAGTGAACTGGAAGAAGTCGGTCCATACGACACCCTTGAGACCACCCATAGATGTATAGATGGTTACTATGAAACCAAGGACTAAAATACTTGAAGTGATGGACATATCGGTGACTATAGACAGTGCTATCGATGGCGCAAACCTTTCGATTTGATTGACAAGAATTTCAAATATTTGATTCAACATTCAGTTTATAAGGGACTCACAGCTCGACTCCAAAGAATGGGATCTAAATTGGAGATAAAAATGAATTACTATTAAATAGGAATATACGATATAATCATATTTATACCATGGCTAACAGTGTGGACACATTGGTTATAATTTGCAAATTGTGTGATTGAAAGCGTTTGTGAATGTATTCGTTGACTGAAAGTAGATTCATGTTATAGAAGACAGGAATGAAGACTTGAGCGGCGAGTACAGCGGCCAACACGGCCGGGATCACCAGCACCCACAGCATAGTTCCCGTCGCGTACACCACAGTTGGAAAGCCTATGAACGAAGTGCTCGGCAGAAAACTGGCCATAATTGAGATGCAAACCGGTAGCGGAGACATAGTTTTGCCACTAATTTGCAAATATATATATATATATTGTTTTAAATACTGTTTGCATGAATAGTATTCATTGAATACCCTCTTAGAAACTCGTCCTCATTGGTAGTCTTGCGGTCTTTCCACGCGTAAAACAAACCGATTGCTGTCGATATCATTAACATTGCGATGAATACCACGTAGTCTACGGCACCGAAATGGTCAGACATGTTGGCGTACGACCCTATGATGACCGGTCGAGTGGCCCGACCCGACCAACTGTTGCCTTACTTTGTGCTCGACATCTTTGAGGACGACTACCCGGGTCTGCCCGGAATGTTCGTCGCCTGCGTTTTTGGCAGCTCTCTAAGCACCCTATCGTCGGGCCTGAACGCCATGGCGTCCATCATTTGGGACGACTACGCAAAGAAGATCTTTCACAGACTACCCGCCCAGTGGGGCGTCTACATCACCAAACTGTTGGCTGTGTTCATAGGCGTCGTATCCATTTGTTTGGCGTTTGTGGTGAAGGAGACCAAAAACATCGTGGAGGCGGCGACCATGTTATACGGCGCCTCCAATGGCCCCATATTTGGTCTCTTTTGTTTGGGTCTCTTCTTCCCGTGGGCCAACGCGTACGGGGGCGCCGCCGCCCTAATTGTGGGTCAAGTCATATGCTTCTGGATTTGCATCGGATCCGTGGCCGACAAGAGAGACCCCACGACTATGAGTCTGGCGCTCAGCATAGAGGGCTGCGAAGCCAAGAATATATCCAATCCCTACAACATGACGGGCGCCCCCATCAGTTATATGGCTAACTATAAAATACCCGACTATTATCCGACCGGTAATCTTGATTTTTACCTCGTTACTAGTATACATTAATAGTTTATTACCAAAAAAATTAAATGAATCCCAAACACCCAGGCAATGATATCATTCATCACATCAGCCCCTTCTTTGTGCCGGTCATCGGTTTCGTGGTGTCTCTCATTGTGGGAAATATCGTAAGTTTGCTGACGAAAGGCAATAAAGACAAGCGTTTGGACAAAAAGCTAATTAATGTCAGGGTCTGTTACTATATGGAGAAAGTGTTGCCAAAGAGTTGGCGACAGTTAGAGAACGATAGACCCGTCCCCTCCAGACTCAGACACCCACCACATGGTCAGGTCATCTCTAAGCCCATGACACCGATGGGAAGCAACAGATATTTCAGTAGTGATCGCAATGAAGATGAGGCCCCGGAAGATCAACAGTCGACTAATCCCTTGAGTGTCCCATACGTCGACAAAAACACGAGCCTTTGATTTAATTAACAGATCAATTAATTTTTCATGAAATATACAAATCATTTCAAATAATATACTTTTTTTGAAACATTAAAACAATTATAAAACAAAATAAACTATCAATGAACTGAAGTGTCAATTGGTGTCCATAGCGAGTGTCTTATTAGTGATAAGTTTTTACAGACGGATCAATTTTAGGGTTTCAACATTCATCACATCAGCCCCTTCTTTGTGCCGGTCATCGGTTTCGTGGTGTCTCTCATTGTGGGAAATATCGTAAGTTTGCTGACGAAAGGCAATAAAGACAAGCGTTTGGACAAAAAGCTAATTAATGTCAGGGTCTGTTACTATATGGAGAAAGTGTTGCCAAAGAGTTGGCGACAGTTAGAGAACGATAGACCCGTCCCCTCCAGACTCAGACACCCACCGCACGGTCAGGTCATCTCTAAGCCCATGACACCGATGGGAAGCAACAGATATTTCAGTAGTGATCGCAATGAAGATGAGGCCCCAGAAGATCAACAGTCGACTAATCCCTTGAGTGTCCCATACGTCGACAAAAACACGAGCCTTTGATTTAATTAACAGATCAATTAATTTTTCATCAAATATACAAATCATTTCAAATAATATACAAAAAACTTTGTAATTTTGTTAATATTTTGTTTTATTTGATAGTTACTTGACTTCACAGTTAACCACAGGTATCGCTCACAGAATAATCACTATTCAAAAATGTCTGCCTAGTTAAAATCCCAAAGTATAATTTCACTAATTATGTATCAATTAATATTAGGACACTCTAATCATATAAACAGTTAGTGTAATTAACAGACATAATTTACTATTACTTTCCCTTTACAACAAAAGTTGATAAAACTGATAAAAACTTTGAGTTAATCCTAATATACCGTAGGATTTCTATTTTTTATGTCTAAATAATTAGGTGTTGACTAAATTTATAATATTATAAGTTACTTAATTAATTAACTGGTAATTGATATTCAACCCAAGTAAAAACTTGAGTGTTTTAGTTTTTACTTATAATAATATTATGTGAAATCATGTATGAATTCAATGCCACCATCAATAAAATAAATGATTACTTTTTACGATCAATGCAATGAGGCCTATGAATCCTACGCTTATTTTTATTTACACGGAAAACATGATTTCCTATTAATTAAATTCATTTCAAACACACTGTATATTTAATACTATGCTATGATTTTTAAGAGAGTATTTCTCTCGTAAGAAATGTTTGCATAGAAATAAATTATTATAATCAAGTGGTTGGCATTCAATCAGTCATTGAACATACCGTTTGGCAACACTTGTTATGAAATATGCACATTAAGTGCAATACAATTATGCCTTCAGAGCACAGAATCCTATTATGGAAATGCAAATAATTAATTTGCAAACACAAAACTCTGCAAAAAATAGTATTTTGGATTATACTAAATTAAAAAGTCCTACAGTACAGTGTATTTTTGGTTTTGAAACATATTTGGCACAAACTCTTGTCTGCCTCTCAATTGAAGTGAAATATATTTTTATCTCTACTGAACAGCACTTTCAGTTCAAAGTACTCTTTCCTCTCCAGAATTATTATGTATTTAGCGATGAATTCAGTGTTTTTGTGCTTATCTTCGACACTGGCTTTAGTTTCCTGAACTACAAAACTATGACTTTTTTCGTCAAAACAATTCATTACATCGATGTGTGAGACTCGGCACTGATTTGTAACAAACATATTATCAAAATTAATTGTTTCTTATAAAGAAATTTATATAGTTTTAAGTGAATCAACTGTACATTAAGTTACATGTATATTAATTTAGCATGATGAGTGATGATACAAATATATTGAGTTCTCCTTTAGAATATAACGATGAAAATGACTATAAAAATGTTTCCGAGTATTTGTCAAAATATTTATTGATTCATAAGGAGAATGAATTAATTGTAAGTTTTAAATTTTAATTAATTAACTATATTTAGTATTTTTAAGACAGTTAATTATAAATACTTGACATAATGTTTATTGACAAAATCCTGATAAAGTATACAATAATTATCAAGATTATTTTATCTACTCGTCAAGAATGTAATCAAAATTTTATTGATAGGTTGACGACACGACTGGATTTTCACTGAATGGCCAACAATTACATGATTTGTCGCAATTAGTGACCAATCAATTGCTTAATGAATACGATTTACAGTGCAATGAAATCGTATGCTTTCTCTCTCCTAATCATTATTTCCAATCCATTGCTATGTTGTCGGTGTTGAGGGCCGGAGGGGTCTGCCTATTCCTGAATGACAGATCAACTTATGGTATGCCAGCAGATAATTGAGTGTAAAAAAGTCAAAAATGGGTCTAATTTGATATTTCTTGGTATATGAATGGCAGATGAAGTCGACGACGTTATCAATGAAACAAAATTCAAGTTTTTATTTTGTGGGAAAGAGAGCCAAGAGATTGCTATAAAACTTGTCAACAATTACTCTCATATTAAAGTAAATCTTAAGAAATACAATACAATTAAAGATCAAATATAACTTTATTTTCTCTCATTTATTTAAAATCAGAATATTTTTATCGTCTCTGAAGAGGAATACGAGTCGGAGAACAAGATTCAACACTTCAAACATCTTTTAAACTGCAAATCATTTGATCCCAAGAAAACATCCGTTGATAGGAATGGATCCGATTTAGCTGTGATTGAGTTGACGAGTGGTACTAATGATGGCAAACGACGATTAGTGTGTAAAACACATTCAAATCTTATTCATGGCATTCAACAAATGCAAGACAAAGAGGTTTTACACAATAGTAGCGAAGACATCATCATTTCGATGCCTTTCGACAAACTTTTCGGAATTGAATTACATTTAAGTTCTTTGATTAGTGGCTCAAAAATGGTGATAATTAGCGGCACTTTTGACACAAACATTGTGTCATATTTGAAAAGTATTCAGGATTTAAAAGTTACGAAATTAATACTCTTTGCATCGGACGTGAAATTAATGATCAAAAATGAAGTCAATCTCTTGTATGATATGTCGAGTGTTAAAGAGATTCTTTATGTCGGAGTGTTTGATGACTACAATAATGTGAGACAAAGTGTGGAAAATATGTTCAAATGTCGATTCTTTAGGACAGGTATTCATTATTCAATGAATATGTTGCTGATTATCTAACTTTTATGATGTATTGCAGTGTACGGCACCACAGAATCGGGAGTCATAAGCTGTTTATACAAAACGAAATCTTTTGAATATAATGGCTATTCTTCGGGACAATTAATAAGTGGCACAGAAATCAAAGTCATTGATATTAAAAGCGGTGATACACTACCAGTCCATCGAGTCGGACAGATATGTGTAAAGAGTAAACAATTAGGAATCGGATATTTTACAGACGATATAAATAGCATCCAATTTGGTGATAGACTGACAACTGATGGATATTTTAAGACTAACGATGCCGGCTATTATGATAACCAGGGTAACATTTACATCGAGTCTAAAGTGTCGGACATTCTACACATTGATGACCAAATGTTCACACCTACAGAGTTGCAAATTTTACTTTTGTCTCATCCGGATGTCATCGACACCAGTGTTATTGGAGTCCACTGTGAATACAGTGATAGTGATGAGGAAAGTGAGGATAGAGTACAAGAAAGTGAGGATAGAGTACAAGACTGTCAATTGAGTAATACTTTTAAAGTGTTTGTTGTGCTAACAGTGGGCTCAGAAACAAGAGATCTGGACTTAATTAACTTCATTAATGATAGGGTAGAGCCTATCAGACAAATAGATTCCGGTATTTTCGTAGTCGATGTATTGCCGCGAAATAATATGGGAGTAATCAGTAGAAGTGCACTCATTAACTATAAGTGAATAATAACTCTACAAAACTAATAAGTAGTGTTTATAATGATTACCTTACTAATTACAGTCTGTTAATTAATCATAAACTCGACTAAAATCCAAAGATTGCATTTATTTATAACACAAATAACTATACCTTATACATTATCATTTATAACTGTTTAAAAAAATTATTTTTGTTACTGATACACAATACCAATTGTATAATTCCTTAACAAACCAACGAATAAAGCGATTATTAATAACTGTTGACTACCGTAATAGCAATTTTTAAAAAGTAAATCTTTAAAATGTAATACTTCACTTTTGCATAAAACTGGTACAATTTAAATCATTATACATATTACAGTTACGGCAAGAAAACTGGTATCTCTTTGGGGACTATCTTTTTACTACAGTATATACCGTATGGAGAAACTGTTACTAAATGGTTAGTGACAGTTAGAAAACGGTAGATCAGTTCCCTCCAGACTCACACCGATGGCGACAAACAAATACTTCAGTAGTGATCGCAATGAAGATGAGACCCCAGAAGATCAATAATAAACGGAACCCTTGAGGACCCAATTGGTCCACAAAAACACAAACATTTGATTGAATGAATCGATTCATTATTTCATGAAATATACAAAACATGAATAATTTGTTTCAAACATTATAACAATTATAAAACAAAATAAACTATTAATGAATGGATGCGTCACTCGGTGTCCATAACGGGTGTCTTATTACTGACGGATGCCTTAGTGGTGTTTGTGGTGTAGGAGCCCATCCCGGCAGCCCTCTCGGCCTCCTCCTGACTGTACGGCTCATCCCTTAAGAGCCGGACTCTCTTCTTATGGGCTTTACTTTTGTTGTGATCTTTGAATGCCTTTTCGTCAATGAAATAGCGACTGAAAGACACAAACCATTCATCAAATCAGTTATCAATTGCTAAGCCTTGGGATCAGCTCTTACTCGCAGTGTTGACACACGTGCTGTCCATTTGCGGGCAAATCGTAATCAATGTCCTCATCGTTAGTATCGTCCGATGTCTTTGCGGTGTCCAGTGGTTGACTGTCAGCGTTGGCGATGGTATGGATCAGCTGTTGTTTAATGAGATCCAAGTCCTTCTTGTATGTCTTCGTCTTGAGGGCGCGTTTGCCGATCCGTCTATTCGGTGGGTTTTTACCCTTTTTGCGAGCGTACCTGGTCATTTTGCAATTGTCTCACGAGTGGTCACTTGTGGTCACTTTTGGATCAACTGATTGTCTCAAGACTTTCGCCACAAACAGTCTAACATTGACTGCAATTGAGTGCAGAGTTGAGTGCAATCTGTAAACCAAAACACATTGCAATCACTGAAAGCATGCGTTCACTGAACCAAACATAAAGTACGAGACCTTTCATTGGCTCCACAATTGATGGCAACAAAAGTTTTCAAACGGTTTTCAAAAAGTTTTCTAAAAGTTTTCAAACAGTTTTCGTTCAATTGATTTGAATAGAAATTCAATCGTAAAAGTAGTTCAAAATGTATTTTAATTTATTTTGCATTTAAAATCTATTTCAGTTTACATATATATATTAATTGTGTCATATACAAATAGCTTGGCACTCACACACACTATATGTCGACACAATTTAGGTGTTTCCGGTCAATCAATTAATTTTGCGGACTCCCGGCGCTGCTGCCAAACATTCCCGAGTCGTCTAATGGCGACCCAAAGCTGGTGTTGGGGTCGCGACCACCGGTCGCACCGATATGGGAGTCAACCGATTGCCTCAACCTTTCCTTCAATGTCTTCTCCGGTGACGCCCATCGATCCGATTGCTCTGGTGTTAAGACCACTTCAGCTGATTTAGTCCGTCGGTGGGGGCTTATGGGGGGCGATAGTCTTCGCGGACTTCCGATTCCCGAGTCATCGAATCCCGTCCCAAAAGAAGTGTTGGGGTCTCGACCTCCGACAGCCCCACCCGTCAAATCAATTGTTGGTATTTGTTGTGGACTTTCGGGTCGAGTCGTCGAAGTTGTCGGACCTAACGGTCGCCCGAAGAATGTCTTCGGGTAGAGAAGAGTGGATCCATTTGTCTGGAGTTCTCCCCACCGGTCCTTAAATTCTTCGGGTAATAGCGACTCACCAGCTGTTGGCTGACGTCCATCACTCGGGACACCACCTCTTGGAGGGGCCACAAACCCTTTGGGAGTGACTGACGGATCAAATGGATCGCCTTTATTAGCCACATGTTGGAGCCATTTCTCATATTCCGGTTCAATGATCGACTCGGGCTGAGATCTATCTCCAAAAACTCCAGCACTTGTAGGTATTTGTTGGTCTCGTGATGAACCCGAAGATTGATAACCACCTCCTGTTGTNTTGTGTCGAAGGGAATGGGAGGCCAAAGAATGTCTTCGGAAAGAGAAAACTCGATCCGTTTGGACCCTTGACTTCGCCGAATCGGTCTTTAAATTCTTCGGGTATTAGCGACTTAGTAGCGGTTGGCTGACGTCCGTCACTCGGAACACCATCTCTTCCAGGAGCCACAAAACCTTTAGGCGCAACCGATGGATCAAATGGATCGCCTTTATTAGCCACATGTCGGAGCCATTTCTCGTACTCCGGTTCAATGATCGACTGAAATCCACTTCCAGACACTCCACCACTTGTTTGTATCTGAGATGTACGAGAAGATTGATAACCACCGCTTGTTGTCTGCGTTTGTGTCGGACCACCGGTTGGTATAACATATGGATCGCCACCTTTGATCACGCTCTCCATCCACGACTCATATATGGGTTCAATAATTGAGTTCTTAGATCTGCTTCCTATGAGTCCACCACTTGTATCAGTCGCTGAAGGCATTTGTTGGTCTCGTGATGTACCTGAAGACTGATAACCACCTCCTGTTGTGTGCGTTTGTGTCCCGGCGCTGCTGTCAAACATTCCCGAGTCGTCTAATGGCGACCCAAAGCTGGTGTTGGGGTCGCGACCATCGGTGGCACCGATAAGGGAGTCAACCGATTGTCTCAACCTTTCTTTCAATGTCTTCTCCGGTGACGCCCATCGATCCGATTGCTCTGGTGTTAAGACCACTTCAGCTGATTTAGTCCGTCGGTGAGGGCTTATGGGCGGCGACAGTCTTCGCGGACTTCCGATTCCCGAGTCGTCGAATCCCGTCCCAAAAGAGGTGTTGGGGTCTCGACCTCCGACAGCCCCACCCGTCAAATCAATTGTTGGTATTTGTTGTGGACTTTTGGGTCGAGTCGTCGAAGTTGTCGGAACTAAGGGTCGGCCAAAGAATGTCTTCGGGTAGAGAAGAGTGGATCCATTTGTCTTGAGTTGTCCCCATCGGTCCTGAAATTCTTCGGGTAATAACGAGTCATCGCCTGAAAGTCGTTCAGCTGTGGGCTGTTGGGTACCACTCGACTCACGACCATCGCATGGATCCCTTCTGTCCAAAACGCTTGGATCCAATGGATCGCCACCTCTTAGAACAAGTCTTAGCCATTTGGTCATTTCGGTCTCACATTGAGGTAAAGGAGCTTTAAGTGTCTCATGTTTGACGGGTCTTGAAGTACGTCGTGAAGATCTACCGCGTGAGCGACCGCCCCTTCTTTCATAAGTACCACCACTTGTAGTCTGAGTTTGTGTCGGACCTAAAGGTCGACCAAAGGATGTCTTCGGATAGAGACGAGTGGATCCATTTGTCTGAAGTTCTCCCCACCGGTCCTTAAATTCTTCGGGTAATAGCGACTCATCAGCTGTCGGTTGACTACTGTCCCTCTGAACACCCGCCCGTCCATCGGACCCTTTTCCTGCAATCGGACCAAACGGTTTGCCAAAGAGTTTCTTCGGGTAAAGGAGTGTCGATCCGCCGGATCTATATTCGGCCCATTCGTCCTTAAATTCATCCAATAATAGCGACCCATCCTCTGGATCTGTTTGATCTGTTTGAGTGTATTTATCCATATATGGTCTTTGAGGATACAGTTATAATTTGCTAACTATATGAAGATATGGTAACTGAATTTTTGAAATTCAATATCAATCATTTTGATACAGTATTAGTAATTTTATCAATTAAGTTGCATTTAACAATAATGCTAACAATATTATATATTTGAATTAAATATACAACGACTAAGCAATTTAACAAACCGGTCGTATGTTTAAAATATGATCAATAAACCTCAGTGTCCGTGTGAGGCCGATACCTTTTGACAGTTGAGATTATTGTTTCAAATTTCAAACAATGAACTAATTGTTGGACACAAATCTAGTTTATGGACATCTATTTGTATTCATTTTGGGAGGAATTTCTTATAACGATTTGATTTCAATGTCCCAACAGTACGAAAACAATGTCATATTCTGTGCCAATGGTCTCATTACTCCAAAAATGTTCATTAATTCAGTGGTATATCAATAAAATAATTCATTCTTACTATTTAAGGAAAACATTTCTTTGAATAATTTTTAATTCAATAAAGATCTGATTCCGAGTTTCTTATGAATTGAATCTGAACATTATAGATATATTTCATATCTTAAGATTAGCGTTCAATTGCAATAATACAATAACTTAATCTTATAACGAGATTGTAGGAAAATTAATTTAAATAAATTTCCAAACCGTATCCAATATCAGATAAAAACTTTCCAAAGAGTTCAACAGATATGTCAACTAATTGTCAATCATTTGGAAAAACTCTTGGGTATAGATTAATGTCTACAAAATGCCAATTACCCTCAAAACACAAGCGTTTTGTATACAAACCCAATGAAGTCGTTGGTAAGAAATATAGGAAATCGTGTCATACGTGTGACCACAAGAAACACGAAGAATGGGTCGAAAGAATCTTCCAGAATGTGTCACAAAGAAGTGGCAAAAAGAAAATTCTTGACTTCAAATTCAAAGATAAAACTGAATAAAACTCAGTATTATGGCTAACCACCACTCACTTTAGAGAATTTTTATATTAATTTAAATACATTTCCGACACAAAGTCTATTTCATAAATGTTAAAATATAAAAATTGTAATTTCTAACACCAATTTAAATAAATGAAATTTTTATAAATTCGCAAATATTATTTATTCTCACAATGATAATTTATTAACAAACATGTAATTACCATAATTCAGTACTTATTCGCCGCTTGTTTGTTGGGACAGTTGTACATCTTATTAATACTCTGCGCGTCCAACTGAGTCATATGCGTTTTATCGTAGGGCTCCTTGAGCCGGTGGTGTTTGTCCCTGGGCTCCATGGTCATCTGTC